TTCACCGTACAAGTTTTTTCCAGTCGTTCTCAACGTCTTCGACGTGGCCTGATAGATCTTCATCGATAAGTGGTCTTTGACAGTTGTCTTAGCGTAGCAATCCTGGTCCACCTCAAAAGCCTTCGGATGATTCTCGGCTGCTTGAAGGCAGATAAATTGGCCGGCATTTTAATAGTCGCAATGACTGGACGATGTTGACTGTTGACCGTTACCGATGGGATCACCTTGCAGTCTAGCACATTGCTTCGTTGGCTCCTTCGTGTATAAATGTAGTCGATCTGGGTCTTATGTCCCTCACTATAGCATGTGAATAGGTGGGATTCTCTCTTCTGGAAGGAGAATTGATTATGATCAGATCTAGTGACTTGGCGAATTCCAATTTGCTTATGCCATAATCATTCCTTGTCCCATAAGCAAATCGACCTTGAGTGTCTTCTAACTTGCAGTTAATTGCGCCAATGTATCCACTGAAATCGCCCATGATGTACAGGTCTTCATCAAATGGAAGCGCAGATGCTACGTCGGCAAGCTGCTCCCAGAACTTATGCTTGTCGGCAGTGGGGAAATTTCCTTGCGGAGCACAGATGCACATAATATGAGTGGCCTTTTGCCGAAAATCATAGCAGTTCTCATGATGCGGTCGGAAACCCGTTGTGCATCTTGTACTGCATGCTCTAGCCTCTGGGACACTGCAATGGCGACACCGTTGACTTTGGATCGTTCTCCGCCATAGTAAAAGTTGAATCCTCCAATCCTTCTCGTCTTAGCGCCAGCCCATTTCGTTTCTTGAAGCGCACAGATGGCAATGCTCCTTTCCGTCTGCATGTTCGTCAGAACGGCTGGTTAGGGTGCCAACGGTAAGTAAGGCGATCCTGATGGTCTCGCCGCTTGTCCTTTACGGAGGACTTCCTAGCTTGTGTGTCCGTTACGGTGGTCGTCCTAGTTTGGCCCATTACGGTGGGCAACCTAGCTCTGATCGAGATACTTGAAAGATCCATTGATCACTATTATGCAGAATTTGAATGAACCTCCTGAGTGAAGTTCTGCAGTGCTTGCATCCTCAGGAGGCACCCTCCGCGCTCGCTGGCTGAAGCCAACACACCCGTGCCACGCTGAGGCCGCGGATAGGATTTATGGGGACATGATAAACAAATAAACAAATAAATAAAAAATAAATATGACGTACTCGATCGAGTATAGACTTCATCGCTATCTGTTATCTCTGAACTCATTACCCATCCAACAATCCAAAGTTTTGGCCAGGAATGTTGTAGTCATCAAGTGAACGAGGGAACCGATCTTTTCACGCCAAACGGATGCGATATCCGTGCTCAGGGGGTCAAAATACCCCTAGAAAGAGTTCCTGGCCAAGTTGTGACTGTGGCCAAAATTTCGAATTGTCGGATGGGTAATGAGTTTAGAGAGGACAGATAGATAGTGATCAATCATCTCTCGATCGACTGCAAATACTTGATTCTACTTGATCTAATAGCTCTGCTAGGCCGTAACCACGGAAGTATTTTGAAAATTAGAGTGAAGACTTTTATGGGAGACGATGCAAAAATTTTCGCGCCAACGTCATGCAAACCCACGAGCATTTGGTTTTGGAGTGAGGCCGCTACCACTAAGCCACTGTGGCACTGCACATTGATCGATCAGCAGCACTTACGAGTCAAAATCGAGTTTTCACAAACATCGACCACCCAGAACGCGTTTGGGAGGTCCTCGTGGCACTTTTAATATGCACATTCTCAATCAGCATTTGAGACTCTGTCGATGTACCTAGGTCTCCACTCAAAATTCTATGGAAAGTTCAAACCGCTCCCTTGTGAGTGATCTTGGAGATCAGGAAAAGTGTTGGAAAAGAGGAATATATAGCGAGTTGAATGTGCCTGCGGTGTGTTGAGACCCGTTCACAGTGGGTGTGGCGTGCCCTCAAGCACGAGGACCTTATTTTTTTCTGCGTTGTGTGCAGAGGCCGCCATACTCTTACACATCTATTGTCAGGTACATTAGATACCAGTCGGTTCTCTGGCTGACACCGTGTGTGACTCCTTCTCTACTACGGCCAGGCTTCGTGACAGTGACATGAATAGTGGCACGGCAACATGTAGTACGAGAAAATTTCACTTCTCTGTAACAAGACGCTGGTCGCACCCACCTGTACGCAGTGCTCCTGGCCCTTGAATTGTTCGGCTCACCAAGGTCCCAGTTCGTATAGGACCAAGGTTCCCCGTCAGACCATGACCATTTTTTGGTGCTTGGATCTTGCCTGCCTCCAATCCAAAGCAATCGACTCATCGGCTCATACTCATTAGACGACGGCTGTACCGCTAACTCTGAAAATCAACACCTTGCTAATAACAGAAAGCAGTACTGGTGATCCTTAAGTTGGGTAAATATTCGGAGAGTACATGAAATTGACCACTAGGGAAACATATGATAATCATTGAAAACAAAAAAATGATTTCCATTAAACCTTGGATGCTGCTTTAGACAGCGCTCAGACCAGGGTACAGCATGGGGATGTGCGAAATGGCGGTGTGAGTACGACCCCCCCCCTCGAACAGGGTCCAGTTAAGTCCCCCACCCCCTCCTGCTATAACTAAGTGACAACCAGATGCATGTTCACTACTGGCTTCCTGAAATGGAATCTGGATTTTCGAATGGCGAACTCTGTTCTTAAATCCAGTTAATAATAGGCTGTTTCAGCCTCATGCAATATGAGGCTGAACAACAGCCTAGCATTACCTACAATTTTGTCTTAGAGTTCAAAATAAAACTCGTCGTTCGACAACCATGTATGACATGCAATTTGTAACAAGGAACACAGTCGAAACAGCGACTAATGATGATCATTGATAAGCTAAATTGGTGAACATTTGAATTCGAAAAATTTGAAAAATTCGCTCCGATAAATACGAATATGGCACTCGCCCAGCGCGAAAACGCCTGCACTGCGTGCCAAGGGCACTTGTGCATCCAAAAATTCTCCCATATCATAAGACACTAAGGGCGCCACTAAGCGAAAATCTGTTTTTCTGGCAAGTTACGGAGAGCGTTAATGTAGTAGTAACGCTACAACCACTTTTTGCCAGGTTTGCGCAAGAAGCAAAAAAAGTTAGGCTCAGCAGGGATCCGATCCCACGACCTTTTGCTTGATCAAGCGGAGAAAAAAACTCCATAACTAGGTTCAGAGGATTGATCTGCAGTTTCGAAAGCAGATTCCACATCAGCGTCCAAAACCACGTCTAGTGAACTACATCTCTTTAATGGCCACTTCGACCTGGCGACCTTCCCAAGTCAGAACGCTGTCAAGCTAGAGATCGAAGATGCGATAGAGTGCAGTATGTCATACAAATGACTTGGAAACTTGGAATCGTGGTCAAAAAACTCTCGAATTTTTTTTTCGTCTTCTCTTAAATGGTTCTTTTCGAGATGGTTCAAGGTGATGTCTGCCCCACACAAGAGGACACGCCTTTGTCTGCACTGTCTAGACTTGGCATTATCTACAGTTGAGCGGTTTCTGCTACGAGACATTGTTGGCGGCCCAAGTGCTGCACCTTGAGGATAGTGTGGGCGTGGTATGAGGCGGCACTATTTCCACTACCTTAAAGCTTCGTTCCTTTACACTACTGAGTATTTTATTATATTGCTGTTCCTATATCGTATTATGGCCATTACTATGAGCACTACATTATTACTATTATTATTGCACATTAATGCCAATCGGCACACCCCGCTCACGCCTGTGCGCCTCTTCTGTGATAGGGCACAGCTTTGCTGCGTGTACCTTATTTCGTATGTTTTAAGATGAAACCAATACTCAATAAATCAACACTCGACAAACCATCACATGTTTCCTTGATCAGCGCTCCTTACCACCATACTGCAGCCGCTATGATTCCGCGATGTATGCTTGACCCTGCTCCGACCCTCTTTCTTACTGCATCACCACATTTCCCCGGAACTTCATGTCTACGTCAAACAGACTGTCGATGGCGACGGAGCAGTGGACATAGCGGGCGTGGAACGGAGAAAAACGTTAGTTACATATAACCCAGATATTAGTAGCGCGGAGAGGCTCATATAGGAGAAAACTTTCGCTTGATCTCAAAATACATCTACTAAGCCCCCACATATCATTCCACCTTGAGCTCTCAATCGCATGTTCCTATTTCTCAGGCGCATTTTCCTTCGCCTAACACTTAAAATGGTAGGCTCGACTACGTTCTTGGACTAAACATGGCGGCGGCTAAGTTTTCGTAAGATGCCTTCATTCTGCGACAGCTGTAATCACGGCTTTGTTGAACACAGAAGATGATGACAACCGCTTTGAATGTAAATGTTCCACGAGTAACCAATGCTGTGCCATGCTCGAATGTCACGCCTTTTACGTCTCAGGGGAAAGGAGCATGTAAATATTTGAAGGCAGCGCCCGCGTACAATTTGATGAGTGGGGCTCAGACAGTGACAATAAGGTAGCAAGTAGTTCATTAGTGAAGCAAATGGCAAAAAAACATCAGATATGCTCTTTATATGACCTCACGCCGAGCTGAGGTTGTACGTGCTAAAGGCGAGAAGAGGGCGCGACTGCACAAGTTCTCACTTGTTGATATCAGCTGTTTTCCCTTATCACCTCATTATCACCATTCGAAGGGTAGAGAGTTCAGAACAACCGCACCATCAGGCAACCATTAGAAATGAAGTTGGGCGTAGTGGTTGCCAGGTGGGCGGGGTGGCCGACTTACGAGCGGGCCCCGCTGTTTTCTCGCCTTTTTGAGTTGCAAAACTAGTACGCACACCATCCTCATAGGGTGGCTATGATATTCCAAAAGGGCGTGAGACAACAAATGAATGCGGGCGTTGCCTTTAAACTTATTGCTTGTCATTCCATACTGGATGACATTGAGATGAAAATAGTACGGAAAAGCAAGGTAAGAGAAGTACTGGCAATACGAAGAAGAGCTTCCGCCATTAAAATTGAGGAAAACTCGCGTCTATGGCTCTCGTATATAGCTGTATGTAAACAACAGTAGCGAGTGGAAGCTGCTGCAAGGTATGAACGGTTCAGTCTCAGAGAGCAACCCACCATATATGAACTGATTTTCCCCCTCTGAGGAAATGGAAGCCAGATGTCCTCCGTAGTGTTTGCAGATGCCCTCTGCCTCAAACCATGTTCTTCTTTCGTGGAACACCTTAAATTGTGCTCTTGAAACACCGTCCTCTAGAGATCGTGAATTCCTACCTTGTACTTGTAGTTATTGAGTGGTATTCCCAAAAAGTCTGACCAATATGCCCAGCCGTCCACATCTACATGTACTTCAAACACTGGTCTCACTCCATCACGATGAGCAGGAATAGAGTCATGCACATCGTCTCCATCATGCGCGTAAGAACAGCTCCATAGCTGCATAACGACGAAAAGAGTCAGAGAAAAGTGGTGGAGTACCATTTCTCTGAGCCCTTAAAAATGATCTATCAAATTCAAAGAGATTACGTTGGACTGGTGTTGATGCGAAGGTTTTGTTACCCCGGGTATTTTCATGAAATTCACCTATCATTTACTGAAACTCTGAACAACTACGCGTTCATACACTGAGGAACTACAGGGGGGGGGGGCAAAAAAAGTCACTTTTCTTCATTGACTTTCAGGCGCTATAAATTACACTTCATTGAATTCTCATCGGACATTTTCATCCCATATTAAAGAGCATGTTGAATACTATCATGACTCCGCCATAGTCTTCTGGACGAGCGCCATCGAGAGATTCTGGTGCGCGACCGCGATGTGGTGCCTGAGATCAGCGAGATAGTCGATTTCTCTGCCACCGTTAACCACCCTCTTGAACTCCGCCCAAACTGGGTAATTGAGGGGATTCAGGTCAGGTGACCTACTTGAATTATCCATCTTCTTAAGCTACTCAGCCCCCTTCCGTTCCAAGTAGGCGAGAGTTTCTCCAACTCCCTTCAATTCCATGTGGTGGCACCCAATGCTGTTGCAGTACAAAGTTTCCAAGAAGGTACGGAACACGACGTGTGAGGAGAATATTCTCCACGAGTTGCACAATGTAACCTCAAGCGCTCACCTTATGTCCGGGGTCCACGAAGAAAATATTGGTCTTCCTATTCCAGGTACCTCCGGTCCATCATCAACCCGCGCTTTGACGACTGTGGTGAGGATGATATCCTGTACCATAGCGACGTTGCCGGAGCTGCTCGATATTGGGGGCCCTCCAGATTAAGAGTACTAGTCTCCAGGTAGCTATCCATGGGTGACTCCATACTGAGAGTTTTGCAGCTGTTTGGAGGTGACGTGAATTCCAAAGGTCTTCTCCAGTAAGGCTGCGACTGGAGATGACTTCATATTTTGGTGTACATAAAGGTGATGGGCGAGAGCCAGCTCCTGCTTGTAGAGGAACATCTTGAGTATCTTCCGCCCTAGTACTCGTATCCACATCCTCTGTCTGGGCAGCGAAAACTTTGCTGATATGTGACTCGGTCGGAGTGACTTTTTTGTGTCCCCCCCCCTGTAGATGATGAAGTGAGAGGCGAATCGGCGATTTGTAGAAGAGGGAGAATCGTGGTATAGAGAAATACATTCGAACCAGTCAAAGGAACTGCCGATTCTTTTATTTGCCTGATCGATAAGTATCTTATCTTCTTGTCGCATTCGGCGATTTGCCCATCCTTCAGCCCTCCAGTTTTGTGCAGTATAGACGCAGCCAATTATCACCGCTAACGGATCATGCTAATGAAAATGATCGAGGTGGAACTTGTTGACTCCGCCTTCAGGGCTTTCATAGGCGGAGTCAACAAGTTTCATCTCGATCATTTTTCATTAACAAGATTCGTTAGCGGTGATAATTGCTAATCTTATCGAATATGCCTTGGAGACAGGGCACATAATTTTTTTAGATTTTAGTCGAGTCCGTACGCCCCCCTTCTGGCCCTCCCCTCTGTCCCTCCTCATTGAACTGTAGAGCGGGTGGAGGGGGGGGGGGTGGGGAAATTATATTATAATTATGGTGCGAATGACACAAATGCGTAATGGGTTGAGGAAAACTCTGAAATGATTCTTTACCTCTACTTTTAAGATCATTCTTTGCCTTTACTCTTAACTTTAAGAATTATAGAGAATGAGCTGGTGCCGCTTCCAAATGCACGTCACACTAATACTCCTTTCGGTGGTTGATAATCAAAATAGGCATGTTTCCAGAAGGCATCCAACCAGGTCGTTCAATCAACAGTTGTAGATTTTGTTACTACTTTTTCCAGACATCACTTTGTTACATTTTTTCACCACTAATGCTTCTCATCGGGTTTTCCGGTGCTCCCAACACTGTATCCGTGTTTACAGACTGAATGGGAAACCACCGAACACACTACCCAAGAGCCATGAATGAAGTGCACAAAGGTCCCTGAGACCGTAACGCTAAAGCTAAAGGATAAGAGTCAAGTGTAGGATGAATGTTAGAGAACAAGTGTGCACTTACTACTGGATACTGTGTTCCTGGCCAAGTGCCGCTATATCGTCCCACTTCTCCGTTCAAAACTGCTGTGGAGCAGGCTAGATTGGTCCCGGATGCCGTCTCGCGATTTCGCACAACCAACGCGGGCAAGCCTGAGATGAACTCCTGCTGAATACGATTCCCCCCTTCCCCTCCCAATCAACAAAAAAAAAGACGAAAAAGGCGGGAAAGCACTCTCATTGTCAAAGCACTTGTCAACAGGGGAGCCTCCCTTCCCTTTCGTTTTTTTTTCCTTTTTTTCATTCTTATTCTTCCTCCATTCTCCTCCCTTATCTACTCCCTTAAAATAGTGGACTGGTAGATGCCCGTGAATATGCCCCTGGACCCTTGCAGCGAGAGCGAGAGTCTTGTTAACAAGTGCCCAGCAGCTATTAGGTCGTTGCATGAGTTCTTTCCCCCGACTTTTTCGTAAATATCTTAATAGCGAACCAGCCCGAAAATTAGTGATATGCACCATCACCATCCACTCATCAACTATTAGGCTCAGGCAGCTGGTCGATTCCATCGTCCCAGATGGGCGGGGGCTGGGACCTGAAGAAAGCCACAATGCCGCACAATCGCCACTGTGACATGATTTTTCAGTGGTTATTGTGCGGCACTGTGGCCTGCAAATGCAGGGTGGGTGAGTGATAGCCAGTATGATGAAAGAGTATCAAGTACACATCACGCACACGTGATGATGGAATACCAGCTTAAATGCGAACGATATACGTTGGGATCAAAACAGGGAGGAAAAGACTTATGCAACAACCTAATATAACTTTCTTCACATGTGATGCCCCTCATCTTTCTTCCTATTCTCACTATCTGAAAAATTCCCCGTTTCTTTTAGATGCTAAAGATCCACGTCACCGGTGCAGTGTCATTTGCAGTTTCTTGAAGAATGAGTAATATTCTGGAATACATCTTTTCGTCGAACTCGTTGGGAGATAGCTCATTCGGCGCCGATTGACATCCCCTCTGTACTGCGCCATGTATCCGACTGCCACGTAGAGGTGTTGGAAAGGTGCAACTTCCATGTCAGGCTTCTCCGTTAAAGCAGATGTGGTTCTACAGTTCATAAACATCCAGCCTACACTGTGCTCCGCTTCCTTATCAACCTTTGTGAGCGGCTACTGTATCACTTCACACCACCCATTCCCACTTCTGAACTTGCAATTTGCCTCTTGCGATCTTCAGCTGTCTCTTTAGCTGTTTTTTACAGCAAGGACCATGTCATCTCTGTATGCTAGAGATAGGTGAGTAAAGAAAGCCAATTGGAGATGTCGTCACAGCACAATTTCCTCTCTCACTTCCTTCATAAAGGTTCTAAAGCGCTTGAAGAAAACAAAGCAGTCGCGGTCTGTAGAGCAACCCCCCAGAATTCGCTGTCATTGTCCTTCTGAAAAGTTGGGCGGATTTTCATCATGTTTATTTACTTATTTATTTTTTCCTTTATTCATTTACTACGCAAGCAAAGGTGCGTTACAATGTGCTCGAAACTGGATGGGTTAGACAGCAAAACCATTCAATCGATATAGAGAAAAAAGACACGAAAAATTCAGACAAATACACGCTAGCAGAAAACTCTTCACATCTCAACATTCTGGAATTCATTAATTCCTAATAAAGCGAGTAGGTCAGCTTCTTACGATTTCCTTTTGAACCGTGGTATTTTGGCCTTTTGTAGGACCGATGGCAGTGACTGGAGCCATCCCGCTCTACGAAAAAATAGTGAGTTACCCGTTACATCAGAATTCTGGTCGAAGTTTGCTAAACTTTTTCACTTTTTGCCTGAAGCTTTTCAGTGTAAGGGCTCTATATCTGTGAGAACCGTATTGAAGTATGGACACGACATATGCCTCATAGAAGTTTAGCAAAGTTAGAGAATCATTTATTCCACACTCCTGAGTGATGCAAAAACGGTTGTGAAGGATTTTCGAACAACAGCTTTCTCGAGCCTCCTTCCCCCCCCCCAAGTTTGGTCTCTCATAACTCCGTGTTCGATCCTAAGATTGTGAAGAAAAAATTTGCTCATACAATGATTTGATTGCTTCATACCTTGCTAGCATGAAAGCTTCAGTGCCTCTGCAAATCTCACAGCGGAAGTTACATTTAGTTACATTCACTTTATAAGGAATTTTTTTTCACATCCCACTTGTTCCACCTCCTATTCCCCACAATAGACGCTCGCGTCCCAACTCCCGCTGACTACACTTCCTGGAACCAACGTCTCACTGTTATTCGTGCGCTGTAATTGTCCTCATACACAGGGGGTCACCACACCCCATATCTCGAAGCTGAGGGGGGCTTGTCTGCATTTTTCATTAGAACATGGCGTAGATGCATTTTCCGGGAGGTATTGGGTCGGCCCATAAGTCATTGCCTTTTTTTTCCCCACTCGAAATATCGCGTTGGCGTCGCTCCCGCCTCTCTTACCAACCTTTCGTCGCACGCCGCCTACCTGTACTGCACTCCTCACCACCCCCCGATTCCCACTTCTCTGAACTTGCAATTTGCCTCTTAGCGATCTTCAGCTGTCTCTTTAGCTGTTTTTTACAGCAGGACCAATGTCATGCTCTGTATGCTAGAGATAGGTGAGTAAAGAAAGCCAATTGGAGATGTCGTCACAGGCACAATTTTCCTCTCTCAACTTCCTTCATAAAGGTTCTAAAGCGCTTGAAAGAAAACAAAGCAGTCGGGTCTGTAGAGCAACCCCCAGAATTCGCTGTCATCTGTCCTTCTGAAAGTGGGCGGATTTTCATCATGTTTATATTATTATTTATTTTTTTTTTTTCGCTTTATTCATTTACTACGGAGCAAAGGTGCGTTACAATGTGCTCGAAACTGGATGGGTTAGACAGCAAAACCATTCAATCGATAGTAGAGAAAAAAGACACGGAAAATTCAGACAAATACACCGCTAGCAGAAAACTCTTCACAT